AAAAAGATACTCAAGGAGGAGGAGAAGAGGGAGTCACTATCAAGACATTGTATCTAACGGACGTCTGTTGGATCATTATCTGATGGACAGTCTCAATTTGGGACAGCTCGGACATATCCAGAGTGGAGCGAGTTTTACTTGCATAATGAGACTGAAGATGAAGATGAGTTTATGTCTCCTGCATTTAGAGAATCTGATTTCTTTATTTTACCTGAAAATGCTCAGGATAAGTTCATCACAGATAACCAATTCGAGAACATGCTTGGTGTTTATGATAAATCATCATCTCAAGGGTCTCAAACCGAAGCGAGTCTCGATTACTTAGATAAGCCGTTTCTTCTCGGCAATGTGGAGGATGAGGATGAGGATGAGGATGACTCAAAAGATTACATTGGTCTTGATGATAAAACTGATGAGCTTGATCTCAAGACCGGTGATCAGGTGAATGTAACAGATGAAGAGGTTGATGTTGTTCATGAGGTTGAAGATGAATATGAAGTATTTAATCTTAGAATCATTCACTGGAAAAACAGGTATGATCATTTTCATTAGCTAGTCTTTATATATGTGATCTTAAATAGAAAGAAAGATGAATTTGTAATTTACAGGACGGGATTCGAAGAGAACAAGGATCTACCAATTGTGATAAACTCGGTGATTGGAGGAAGATACTACATAACGGAATACATTGGTTCTGCTGCATTTAGCAAGGTGGTCCAGGCACATGATCTACACAATGGGGTCGATGTTTGCCTCAAGATTATCAAGAACGATAAAGATTTCTTCGATCAGAGTTTAGACGAGATCAAGCTATTGAAACATGTCAATAAGCATGATCCTGCTGATGAACATCACATCCTGCGCCTCTACGATTACTTCTACCATCAGGTAAGAGATCTGGAGAGACATACATATCGGTTGCTCTCAATGAAGTTACTAATTCTTGAGTGTATGTAACAGGAACATTTGTTTATTGTCTGTGAACTTCTCCGAGCAAACTTGTATGAATTCCAGAAATTCAATCAAGAATCAGGAGGAGAACCATACTTTAACTTAAGCAGACTTCAGGTTTGTTGTTTCCCTGACCCGAAAAAATGCCTAAAAACAGCTTTTCTTATCTCTCTTTGATCTTTTTTGTTTCCTCAGGTTATAACCCGTCAGTGTTTGGATGCGCTTGTGTTCCTTCATGGACTAGGAATCATACATTGTGATCTCAAACCTGAGAATATACTGATAAAGAGTTACAAAAGATGTGCGGTGAAAATCATCGATCTTGGAAGTAGTTGTTTCCGCTCTGACAACTTGTGCTTGTATGTACAATCTCGTTCTTATAGAGCTCCTGAAGTGATTCTCGGGCTTCCATATGATGAAAAGATTGATTTGTGGTCTCTTGGGTGTATTTTAGCAGAGCTCTGCTCTGGTGAGGTACTTGTCTAGTTTCCATCAAAAAGTCTTATCTATATGCTTTATCCCACATACTGAAGAAACTAGTAACACAAATTTATCAATGTGTGCATCAGGTTCTGTTTCCAAATGAAGCAGTAGCGTTGATATTGGCTCGGATTGTTGCAGTTTTAGGTCCTATAGAAACAGAGATGCTAGAGAAAGGTCAAGAGACACATAAATACTTCACTAAAGAGTATGATCTCTACCACTTAAACGAGGTAAAATTTCTTGATATAACAAAAAAACTCAAAAGACTTATTGCTTGAATGTGACACATTGTTGTTTTTTTGTTGCGATAGGAGAGCAATGAGATTGAATACATAATCACAGAAGAATCATGCTTGGAAGAACAATTACATGTTAGTGATGAATTGTTCTTAGATTTTGTAAGGAGTCTACTTGAGATCAATCCATTAAGACGTCCAACAGCTCTCGAGGCACTTAACCACCCTTGGCTCTCTTCTTCTTCTTACAATTGATTTTGCTTGTTCTTGTGTTGGTTGTTTAGTTTTGTCTTATTCTTTGTTTCTCCAGTTTTTTGGGATCTTGTTTGTGATTTTTTTTCAAGTCACTGTAATTTGGTAATTGTGAGATTATGTGTATAGAACGGTTTACATTGATTTCACATTGTAAGTAAAAAGCTTGTGTGGTGCGGCATAATACATAGTTTCTCAGTTACCAGTTGTTCTAGATCAAAACTTTGGACTTACGACCATAATGTGGATACTCTGACGAGTGACGACCATATATGATCCATCATTATGGTACCTAATCTTTGTACCAAATAGTGTCACCTAGATTCCGATTGTTAAGTTAGTAACACCTAACCTGATAAACTTATTTTAATTCTCTAACGATTCTGCTCTGTTTTTATGTGTGTAATTTCGAAAACCTTGATGAGAGATGTGGACTAGAGGCCTCTCTATAGCTGATGACGAATTTTTGATTAAAAAAGCTCTGTTTCTTGATGCCATGTCGTATAAATCCCTATATCATACATGTATATGCTCTATTTCTTATGTAACTTAGAGTTCTTGTTATCTCAATACAAGTTATGTTTGTTCATTCTTGTCTTTAGGGAAAGGCTAAGAAGGTTGTTGAGACTGCAAGAACTTCAAACATCCAAGGTATTCATCTTCCGAAGGAACAAATTAAACATTTATTCTCATTACTCTCTAAAATATACGTGAAAACAAACTTTCTTGCCAACGATCTTCTTTTGTTCCAAGAACTCTTCCACAACGATCTTCTTTCTTCTACAATCTACAAACAAATATCTTTCCCCATTCTCACTTGAAGTGACATCAATGAGTTAGATTTTGACCCTTTTGGCGTATTTCATATGCTTAGCCGCCTCTCTGTTTAGGGTGAAACTGTTTCTTTTAATGGTTTTCTTAATTCTCTGAGATTATGAATCACCACAAAGATTCTCATGTTCCGAGTTACTTATCATTTTGGTTCCACAATGTCATGTCATTTTCACAAAAACAACCCCAAAACGTTTGGCTCAAAGTATACCAAAAATTATATTTTGACATTTTGCTTCGGTGTTCGTTCGTTCCACATTGTATTTAGAAATCATATAACAATTACAATTAGCACATAATTTTGAATAATGTTTTAAAATAGATGATCGAAATAACACGTGATTTTAGTTTGAATTTTCAAATTTAAACTCCATATACCAGTAACCATAGCCCCCATGATTTTAGTGATTTCGCATCAACTGATAGCTAGTTCCTTAATATCTGCTTGTAATTTTCTCAATTTTGGAAATTAAGTTACAACTTACAATTCATTTCTCATATATTCTTGTGAAGAACGTTTACTTTTGTTAGATCATGGGATTTGTGTTGAGTTAAAAAAAAAATGGTGACCTTCCCAAATCTCAACTCTGATGCTGGATTGAAGAAGCTGGACGAGTATCTTCTCACTCGTTATTACATTTCTAGGTTAAACCTTGCCCTTTCTGTCTCTTAAGTAGTGCACATTATCAAATAGATTAGATTCTACTCAACCTTTACCTTTTGGAACAACCAGTTACAGATTTAATACGTTTAAAATGTTATACTTTTACAGTTACAAGGCAACAAAGGATGATATTATTGTCTACGGGGCTCTTTTAAAGCCTCCAACTTCACAGTATGTGAATGCTTGCCGTTGGTATAACCACATGGAGATCCTCTTGAGAAGAGGTATCTCGTAAGTTTCCTCCACTTTTCTTGTAAGTTTTTTTTTTTTTTTTTTTTGTAGGGATTTTAGTCTAAGTCGTGTCTTTATTTGCAGATTTAACTCTTCTGAAGGGAGTGGTGTCATTATTGATGGATCTTCTGCTGTTGATTCTAAGGTACTCTATTGTTTAGTGTTCCATGGAATCATATTTGGCTCTTAATCTCTTATGTAAGATTATACACAAGCTAGTGTCTAGTGAGATCATTTTCTTATATATGTTATTGCTTCCATCATATTGTAGGATGGTTTGGTTGTTGATGATGATGATGATGATGATGATAATCAAGATGTTGACATTATCAAGAAAGCTGCTGAAGAGAGGAGAGCAACTTCTTTGGAGACATCCACAAAGAAGGAAAGTAAGTTATGGTTTGGAACATTATTCTTGGTATAAATTCTCATCATTTGTCTTAAATGGTCAATAGATAAAATGGGTTTGTTTCTTCGAATTTTTCCTTTGGGCAGCTTGGAAGTCAACACTAATGGTTATCATACCACCTGATGATGAGATGGACATGGAGAAGCTAGAGAAAGATGTAAGATCTATTCAAATGGAAGGATTGGTTTGGGGACCATGTAAGTTTGGTTCATCTCTAACTCCCTCATACATGTTTCTAAATATCGGACAGGTATACTAATAATATTTTGATTTCTCTCAGCAAAACTTTTTCCAGTTGGTTATGGAGTCAAGTTGTTGCGAATCATATTCATACATGAAGAGGACCTTTGTGATGACGACACCCTTGTCGATACACATATATATAACTGTGGGCGTGTCCGGAGCGTTGAAACTTGCAACTTGGAGGTTTGTCCGGCTAAAGATGATGGTGACTTACTCGAGGAGGAGATCGAAGAGGAAAAGAAAGCTTCCGGGAAATCAGGGCTAGTGGTTTTCAGGTATGGTGGTAAGACTGACATTCAAAAGGTAGAAGAACGTGTAAGATCCAAACAGAAGGAAGGAGTGTCTTGGGGAGCAAGTAAGTTTGGGTGGATCTCTTAGACCCTCATATCTTTTTACAATGTGATATTCAAATATCTCTCTCTTTTTTTACAGCAAAACTTTTCAACGTTGGCTATGGATTTACATATTTCCAGACCATATTCACCATTGTTGACGACCGTGTGTCTCTTGACACCATTCGCCGAAAAGGGTTGCGTTTTATTCCCTTGAACAGAATATGTAAGTGTTCAAAATCCATTTTTAAACTCCTTCTGGATTACATGTTAATGCCAAAGATGTTTGTTTGGTATTGAATCTCGGCTTGAATCATAATGCAGAGGCTTGGAAAAACTCTCAAGTGGAAGGTGTTAGGGTAGTTTAATTTTCTGTTTACTGCTTTTTTCTTATGTAATGTGAAAATATATCTTATGTTATCTCTCATTGATTTTGATATTTTATCATCTCGTTGTTTCCCTTGTGAGTTTTGAATAAATACGGTTTTACTTCTACCAAATCTCATATATTTGATAGACGACAAACTAATTAAAGAGAAAGATATATAACAACAAAAGTTACTCCAAAGTATTTAGAAAATTTCAAGGTTTCTTTTAGGTTCAGTTCCACAAAACTTCCGAGACAATCAATTTGGACAAAACTACACAATACTCTAGCTAAGTCACAAGAAACAGAGTGAAACAGCAGCGGTAGCTTCTTATACACGCTTCCTTCGGAACACTAAGATGGAACTGTTCTTGTGGTAAACGCCACCAATCGTTTCGATAGAACCTGCAAAACTTTTTTCACTTAGAGGAAACTCCAAGTCCAAGCATTGCTGGTCCTGAATCTCCAAAAAATCTCTTGATCAACTTTCCAAGTTCAGTTCAGCAATGGAACCATAAAAAGATGGCGTTCTCGCTTCAGGTGAGTGACGACTGATGAACGAAATCGCCTGAGATCTAAGCTTAAGTAGTTTCCTGTGAGTACAATTGTTGATGTTTGATTGTCAAGATATAGCAATTCCGATTTTAGTGCTATTTTTATTTGTATACAAAACTTCTAGCATTAAAAAAAAAAAAAAAAAAAAAAAAACTGATTCATATAATCAAATTGGTGCAACTAATCATGATGTATGTAGAGACAACAACTATAAATCTTGGTATCCTTAACCAACAAAATAAAACTATAATCGATTTCATGTTTATAAAAACCTTAGATCCCTTTATTAATAAAACACGTTCTCTTTCACAAGAAAAGAAAAAACCCTAAAAGACTTACCAACAACAAACAAACCCTAAAAACACTCACACGCACATAAAACCCCTATGATGGATTCTTGAAGGCTGCGTTCAAGATCTTTGGACTCAGCATACCCTTTACAGGAATCCTAGTGGAATCAATAGCGAAGCAAATCTTCCGAGTCTCTTTGTGCCTAAACATCCAAATAGTGAGAAAATCAACATGCTTCTCGAGCTTATATTTCTTCACGAAATTCTTCCATCCAACACTCATCAAAATAGGTGTGTCCTTCTTCCACATCTTGAAAACCATCTCATGAATCTCTCCCTTTGGTCCATACACCGAGACCTTTTGCCCATGAATCCCAAGTTTCTCTGCTTTTCCCAGAACATCAACCATCATCTTTTTCACCTGCTCCTTCCCTAACATGAGCCTGCACTGATTGTCCTTCACGTCGCTACCCGTCAACTGCTTCCACATCAGTTCGCTGCAAGCTCCCATCGCATCTGGATCACGGACAAAGATCCTTCTCGGAGGATTTTTCGGCCTATTGGCCTCCCAATCGATCATGCGCAATAGGGTTTCTTTGGAATTGTCTACCTCTGCGACTTTTCTCTTCTTTTTACCCTTCTTTTCATATGTTTGGTTAGAAATTTTCACTTCCAACTCATCCTCACTTACGGATTCTTCTTCTTCTTCTTCTTCTTTCTCAAAGAAAACAGGGTATTGTCCTAGTAGTAACAATGCTAACGAGACCTCAGCTTCGTCTGGAGTTACATCCATCTCCTGAAGCTCTTCTTCGTTATAATGTTTTACAAACAAAACCTTTATCATATATATACTACAAATTGTATCCTCCACATACATAATTCCTTTTCCGATTTGTATTATGAATTATGAAAAAAAACTAACAATTCCTTTTCCGATTTATCAGCTGTTTATTTTCCTTGAAGTAAATGGAATTGAATTGCATAGTTTAGTTTTTTTCATGTATATCTCAATTATAAATTAACCCATATTTATAAAATTCTGTATATATCTCAATAATGAATTAACTCAATATGTAACAGCTTTGCAAATTGCAAGCATGGATAATCATCTTACAATAGATTTTACATATTGAGAAAAATATAGACTCTAAATAACATTTTCTTCAATATGCATGGTAGGTAAATTCACTTCTGGAGATATCAGAGCAAAGATCAGTTTGATCTTTCAAGCTACATTATACAATACCTCAGAAGCTTTTTAAAATGGTGCAAATTCTTTCTCAAAGACACACATTTCTGTTAAGCCAAATCATTCGAAGATGAAACGCATAAGAAGCCGTACTGATTTCATTTTCTCACCCTTTTTATCATACAATGGCACAGATCGAATCCCCGGTCTTAATTCTGCAACAGGCAAGCATGTTTGTCCCCCAAAATCATCCTTCTCCGACATATCATACTCTCTTACTTCGATCCTAAGCAATGCAAGCTCTGGAACGGTTAATGGGAAACTAAATTCCTCATCCCAAATTGGATACCAATTGTCTTCGATTATTTTTGTCTTCTTTTTCGCGTTATCCGCTGGTACACCCACTATGAACATCTACAAAACTCACAAGTCCGCAATCTAATAAGGTTTTTGAGGAATTTTAAGAGCCCCAATTTTTAAAATTGAAATTACCTTAGTGTAGAAATCAGGAGGAGAATATGCGTCAAAGTGAGTGTGACTGAAGTCCATACGCCATCCATCTCCCATATACACTTTCACCTGTTGTAAGAACCGCGGCAAAAAGATAAGGCTGATAACACTTTGAAATGTTAAAATATCCTCTAAGTATATATGGAAGTTGTTGTTGGCTTGCCTTTAACGTTTCTTTCACAGGGAGTTTCTTCCTAGGGTCAAAGACTTCGTCGTGAAACCCTTTCTTCATCAAGAAGTTAGGTTTCTTGACATATCCACAACCTCCATTAGCTCTAAACATGCCGTGCATCAACCACAGAGATTTCCCATATCCCTATACTCACCAAATCTTTCATTTGTTTATACAGAGATCTATCAAGTCTTTGTATATAAAGACTTTATCCATCACAAAAGGTAGCTTAAGAGTCAAGGTATCCATAGACCTTATAAAACTTAGTTTGTTACCTGCATGTTGAATGCAATCATTTGCGCTCCGTGAGTCCAACCGATAAGAGGTTTGTAGTTTGAGGAGTTAAATCTTGTCCCTTTAGGGTATATCCGAAGCAAATTCCGCTGTGTAAACCTAAAAAAAACATAGAGATCAAGTTGCAAACCCGGGCCTATAACGGGTTAGGGTGGTATATAAATTAGTATTACCTTACAACATCCTGACTATTGGATGAACAAGTCCTGTCAAGTTCCTGCTCGCTTAAACTCAAACGTCTCACTTTATCCACCACAACTTTCATCTCTTCTTTCACCGTTCCCTTTGGTTTCCCTGCATGAATGGTGATCAACCGTTTGTATGCAGGTTTCTGATCTTCACTAGCCTCTTCATCCTCTTGATCACTATCACTCTGATTCAAAACTCAAAAACTAAATTATAAGAAACAAACAATGTGTGACCATTTTCATAAATTAAGTCCCTTTTTGTTACCTTGCTTTCAAAATCTTGGTCAAACAACATACTTTCTAGTGTCTGAATCTCCTCTGTTCTAGGTGTTTCTTCCTCGGACGATGGAGATACATTATTATCCTTCTGTTTAACAATCGGATTCCTCGATTCGAGATACTCTTTAGGCGGTTTGGTTGAGATGATTATCCGATGAAGCAGTGAAGCAGGAGAAGGAAATTCCACTAAGCTATCTGATTCAGGGTAATACAACATCTGCCCAAATATCTGTGTAGCCATCTAAACAAAGAAAAAAAAAACCCGAAAAAAATTCAAACAACATCGAAATCAAACTGATTGATAACCACAAGATAGATATATAAAATGTTATACCTCAGCAACTTTGGCTTGAAGATCAGGTGTAAGATGATCCTCTAAAGTGATAATAACCGGATAAGGCGAACTAGAAAACGCGTAATCTCTTATCGATTTCAAGCATTTGATCAGCGGTACAGGTGTTGTAAGCGTTCTGAAGAATCAAGAAAACCGCGGTTTCTTAAAATGTTTTTGACTAAGGAGAAAGAACAACAACAAGAATGAAAAAGGTTATATATATATACCTTCCGTGAAGGACATTGATATCTGTTCCAGTAGAGTTAGGCCAAAGATCGAGCTCGATGACTCGAACGCCTCTTTGCAAGGCTTTGATCACAGGGACTTCGCTACAATCGCTGCTTAGTTGATTACCCGTAAGATACGAATTGTGTCCTGTGTATATGAAGTAATGTGACAATGGAGCTGTCATATCTTGATGCACCTGTTTCAAAACACACAAGATTTAACATTTTCACAAAAAAAAGTTTCGATTTTCGACAATTTAGAATGTTTTTGAATGTTTTACGTGAGGCGTAATGGGAGGATTGAGATCCTCGTAAAAGAGGAAATTGAAGAAATCGTCGAGATCAAGTCCGTGGCGCGTGAAGCGCGTGACGTGGTGTCGCCGTCGTATAACCTCATCGATTAACCGTTGAGCCTCCGCGACGGTGGTTCCTGATTCACCTTGATGGTCATCAAGGAAAGAACAGAGCTGCTCTGCACCCATTACACCGGATGATCCGTCTCCGTCACTTGAATCTCCGTCTGTTCCGCCTCCTCCTCCACCGCCGCCACCGACGGCGAATTGACAAAAAGCGTCACGGACGTCGTCGGTAGGTGTGACTTCGTTGATCTTGAATTTACGGTTGAAACATTTGAACATCTTGTAATTGTAACTACCGCTATCGTTATTATACGACTCTGTTTTCTTCTCCTTCCCCATTGTTTTTAAAACTTAGGGTTTGATTCTTCGAATCCAGAAAAAATGTTTTGTTCTTCGAAAATTCGAAGAACTGAGAGATTTGGGGATTGAGAAGATTTTGAGGAGAAAGAGGAGAGTTTCCTATTATAGAGGAGGCTTTGAAGCGGGATCGTTTGTCTTTTTATGTTTTTCTTATTCTTTTTGAATAATTATTCCTACCTTTTCGTTTTTTTTTCTTTCTTTCTAAAATTTTATTACTGATCCTTCTTCGTGAAGAAAAAAAAAGATATGTTGAAATTACTAATAAGAGAAATTCTTAATTTTAGTCTCGTTTCTTTATTTAGTAAAGATCGTTTCTTTTATACATTTTTTCAGGTGGGAAATTTTGTATTAGTCTAAGAATAAGATTACGTACATGATATGGTTCATGTTTTATGATCGATCATCAGCCATTTTAGTAATGTTTGATTGTATTTTATTTAATTAATGTAGAAATCATGCATAGTTCGTCTACATCACGTCGACTTTGGATCTCTGAATTATTAAACTTTTTTTTTTTCTAGTTTCATCAAAAAATGGTCGATTGGTCTTGCAATGATTTTTTTGTTTAATTAAGATTAGTTTTATGATTTTGTGATGGTTATTTCAGAATGTGCAATGCATGTAGGAGATCAATCTTTATTTCAACATTTTAGACTATGAGTCAATGACGATTCAGGTTATCTCGCCGAATTTAGTCTTCTTCCTTTTTTTGGGGTAAATTTAGTTTTGTCAACATTTCATTTGGTGATCTATGCAAAAGTATGAGATGTAATTACACTGTGTGAAACTGATAAACAATGTAAAGAGACTCAACTCGGTTATGTGACTGAAGCGCCAACCTAAACAAAGTGAGAGAAACACAATAACACAAGATGAATCTTCAAGTATGTTTCTCATTAAAGCTTGAGTTTACATGTTGGCTTTATGAGGTTGTTGGGATGTTCTTGAACTGTGTCCTCCATGTAACTTGATAGTCCCTGAGGTGTAGACACGGAAGCCATTTCTGGAGGAAACAAGTTTGATGCCTTTGTGTATATTGGATTTGGAAAAAGTGTGATAACATCTGTGATAGTGCTTAGGAACATGTATTGGTTTGATGAAACATGCTTTTTCGAGTTGCGGAATTGCGTGAAGATGAGAAGGAAGATGGATGACAAACTCTCCAAAGTCATTAGTAACACCTTTTATCCATTTTGATCTCTTTTGGAATCCAGTGTGACACTTAATGGCAACAGTTGCACCTATAATATCATGTAAAGAGTCAGATGATGTTTTCATTTTGTAAACAAAAGGCATAAGACTTAGACGTAGTGTTAAGGTTCTTGAGCTTCCAACATCTAACTTTTGATGTGGAATCCTAACAAAGAATACCTGAAATAGGGGTGTTGCAAAGAAGAGACCCGGTGATAACTACGGATGAGAGTTTGTGTTCGCCATAGCCAGCCATATCCGACATCTCCCTTATGCTCCATAACTTGCTTGAAGCTGTGAATGCTCCGTTGAAGAAGAAGAAGGAGAGTAACAAGAAGCAACGGAGGATAAAGAAGCTCTCCATGTCTCAATATATGTCACTTTTCTTTAAGAATGATGTGTGTGAAGAGGATGGATTTAAGGAGAGCAAATAGTCAACTTGTCCAACTCCATTCGCCTGTTATTTGTTTTAATCTCAATGTGTTATCTCAGCTAACTACACTTTGGGGAAAAGTGTAGTAGTTAGCAGGAAATGAAGAAACTAGCCTACCATCACAGAGAAGACTGATCAACTGACTTTTGTGGGTTTGGTCAGTAAGCACTAAGCCACCATTGGTTAAAAGGATTTGTTGACCAAAACCACATTTTCTCAACACTTTAATGGGCCTCCATATCTGAGCATCTGACATCTTTACGGCCCATTAATTTTCAAGTGGACAACCTGAAACAGAGAAGGTCACTGATCCGACTGGTCTATGTAGCTTGATGGTTGACTTTTCAAGTCTTTTCGTTGACTGATGATAAAAGGCAAAGAAATAGAGTCAAATATATGTCTCATTGAAGCTCCAACTTGTCTCCCCTAATTATTGTGTCAATAGATTGCTAACAATCAAACTCTTTAGACGTTTTATTCTTATCTTTTGTTAACTTATTGAATTGTGTATTTGTGTCTAATGTATTAGATCCAAAGCCCCTTGGCTCATTTTTTTTGTTTAGTGAAACACAAATACAAAATTTAGAGGATGTTTGTAACATTTGTTATTGTAATATGAAGCATACATAGGTTTTTGATGGTTTCATAGAAAACCATTATACAGAATCACTTTATTTACTGAGAGATCATAAGTCAAGATAAGAAAGAGTATTGGTTAGTCTTATTACAGCAAATTGGAATTGGAGGTTGAATAATTTAAATTTACAGGAAATGGTCAAATCAGAGAGAGATGATTCAAGCATCATCTGCATCACTTCCACCAATATGCCTTCCATGACTACTCACCCAATAGTTGCTCCCATCAGGACCCGATATCTTAAATCTGCGACAACAATTTCAAAATCAAACCCGGTGTTCTTGAAACAGAAGTCCTGATATGTTGGAAATATAACCTTTCAAGAACAGATTTTCCTTCCTTGTACTTCTGATTCTTCTCATGAGCAGTCTCCTGGTAATAAAACAACACACAAACTTAAAGTTACAACCACCTGAAGAATCGAACACCGATAGGTTCTTTTACAACATTCGATGTCTTGCTTACGTATCTCCAGCCAACGATTGATCCACACGAGACACAGAAAATGTCAGCCACAGTATGTTTTCCAGTCATCATCAGTCTTTCTTCAGTCTCTCCAATTGAAACATTGGCACTAAACCAGATCAATCATCAACAGAAAATCATTGGATGATCATCATCATCATGACTCATGAGGTGCCTTAGAAATAAGAAACACTTACACCTTATTGAAGAGATAAGCCTTCCCATGCTTGCAGTGAAAAGACTGAACAAGAAACATCAAAACACAACACACTACAGTGTTAGCTCAAGAAACAACAAATGCAGAATCAGGGAAAGCTCATTAGCTTCAACTCTCTGTTATTCTCAAGATGCATAAAGAGAATCCATCTTAGACCACAGAGAGAATCAAAAAAAAAAAACTGGTGTCAGATGATTGCTTTGCTTCTGTCTGATCAGCTAAAGGGGAGCTCAATGTTACTGTGATATAAACTAAACAACCAATGAAATCATTATCTGATTAATGGCAAGTACGCAGAAACAAGTACTGAACCATAACTTCAACAATGTAGTTACTCAAATTGAAAATATCTGAAAGTAATCTAAGAGTTAAATTTACAATCTCTTATAGTATACATAGCATGATCTCACTCGCAGCAGAAGAGAAGACACAACAAAAGTATTTCTCGTAACTTAAGCTTATCAACACACAACCACATCTCTTCTATAGAATCATCTATCATTATATATTCTCTCAAATTTGAGGAAGAAGAACAACAAAAACAGATTAATCACAAACCCCCATAAGAATAATCTCCAGAAAAGTCAAGAATTGAGAAAAGAGACAAAACCTTGGAGATGATGTCTTCATAAGTAGCAAGATGAGTCTTACAGTGTTTGCAGCTATAGATCTTCCCTTCAAGATTAACCACAAACAGCCTCCCCATCTTGAATCAAATCAAGAACACAAAAATCTGCTGTGAACAGAGTTTTCGATCTTAACAAGAAAAACGAAACAAAAAAAAGCCAGGGACAGAACAATTCAGACTCTTTCTCTGTAGACACGAATCAAAACTTGATTGGGTCGAATTTGGTGTTGTTCTGCAGTTAAGCAAGAAAAATGTGGATGGGGAAGGTATAACGTCTTTTCTCAATTATTCACTTTTTTTTTTTCTTCTTCAGCCAAGAAAAGTGGAACAACGTGTACTCTTCACCAATTGCATTTTCTATATTCATGTATATTTTATTGCTTTCTTACACTTTCTTTATTCCTTGGTCTATTCATTTTAAGATTTTCTTGAAATTGTATTTTTCTTTCATTACTAAAAAATGTACATATACATGTAAAAGCAACAACTAATATGTACATGTATTATGAGATCAGATAACTGAATATTTAGTTATTAGAAGTAACTATGTTTTCTTACTCAAGGCTCAAACTAACAATAGTCTTCTCCCTTCTATTATTTAATAATCAAGAAAAAAATCATATCTTTAATCTTCGTTTTGGTTCCAGTATCTTATCTTATCTTTATCGAAAAGAATATACATATTTTGTATTGTCTGAAGGATGATACGACAGAAGGATTTGTTTATTAGAAAGAAAAAAAAATCAATACAAGCCATTAACTGGATGGTCAAGTAAATCGAATTTCGATATGTGATAATCTTTTTTTTAAAATGTGAATATTTACGGTATATGATATCGTATAGAGAATAAACAATAAATGTTTAAATATTTAATTCCCAACAAAGTTGCTCTCAAAAGTTACACCATTGGTCTCTTTGTGGGTTCAATCAAAATCTTTGTGGGTTCAATCAAAAAGCAAAATCTAATGAAGTTAATGGGATCGACATGTATAAGATACAATTGGTGGAAAAAAGAAGAAGATACAATTTGGTTTACCTTAAAACTCCAAACAAACCATTGGACGATGGATTACTAATAACGTGAAATGCAACTGTATTATCACATCAAAAAGTGTTAGAGAATAATATGTGATTGTACATCTTAAAAAGTGTTAGAGAATAATATGTGATTGTAAATCTTGAAGCATAACTACACAACCAAACTGCTTTACACACAATTTTAAATCAACATTTAGAGGTTTTGCACGATTGATATGATAACAAAAAGACGATATACCAAACAATAAACGACTTATTTATGATATAACATGCATTATAGAGTTTTTAACGTATATTTTTTTTTTTGAAAAAAGTAAAGATAGAAAGGTTCATTAACTAATTGTTAAAGGTGGCGAGGAAGCTGATAGGGCCTTTGCCGGTAAAGGCCGCCTGAAGAGCAAAGATGAGAAATGCAACCATAGCGAGACGAGAGTGCTTTATCTCCGCCAACTTCAAGGTATCCAACTTCTCTGGATCAGCCGCAAGTCCCAATGGGTCAAAATACCCACCCGGGTAAATCCGTTTCTCTGGATCAAGCTCAGAGTTACGTTGGAACTCAATGTATCCGACCACTAGCACTTCTATCCATATCAACGTCGTCAAAGAGAATGGCAATGGCTGTCCCAAATACGACGATCCTTCCACCAATTCCACCTAGGTGAACCAAACCGAAATGCATAAATTCAAAACCGAATTCAGTTTTATAATAACTCGAATAGCAAAGCAATTTTATACTATCTAATAAACCAAACTAAACTTATTTTTTATGAATCCAACCGAATAAACAAAAATTCATTGAAAAAATTATACTTTCAGTTAAAATGCATTGAAATTACTATACTGTTAAATCCAAAAATAAAAAGAATTTAAGAGAATGGCTCTTTTGAGCACTAATTAATTTTGGATGACAAAAAAAAAAAAAAAAGAATGGAAAATTTTCATAGTGAAATAAAATTAGGTTTTCCCAAAACTCGAAATACACGACTCCAAATAATCCGAACAAAACTCAAAAACCAAAAGCCTTATTTCCACTTAGTGATTAAAAATCTGCATGCATGTTCTGAGAGTTCAGAGTTTATTTATTTTTAGCCTAATTTCCACCTATGCCTTATTTAATATTTTTTTTTTTTAACAATCCTAATTTATTAGTTTCAACAAATGACGATTGTCCACGTGGAAAATTACGCTCGTGACGACTACATGAGTGTACCTTTCCGGCGTCTTGCCATGCAATTCCGGTGAGAGCCTCGACGGCGATGGCACCTAGAGTGCCAAGCATGGCCCACCTTCCATGAATCAGCTCACATTCTCTGAACCGTTGGATCCCAAAGACTTCAGTGTACGGCTGAAACGGCGTGGGTTTGATCTCAGACGAGTCTTGGATGATCCCGATGATGTCACCCGCCACGTTCTTGGCAAGGTTTTGGTCAAGACCGTCGAAATCGTACTGAAGATACTCCGCCGGTTTACCTAAACCGAACGGATCAAATCCACGGTCACCGATCATCGATCCGTCCAACCATTCCGGCGGGTTTGCGCCGGGGAACCAAACTAGTCTGTCTCCATCGTCTTGGACCTGCCTTGATTTCTTTGGTGGTGGAGCCGGTTTCTTTTTTCCGAAACTGAACCCGAACCGGGCTTGGACCCTACCGGTTCCGGGTCTAGGATCTTGAATTCGGATCCCAAAGATACCTGAGGCTGCTGCTGCAGTGGTGGTAGCCATATTGAGTTGGTGTGATACTGCTTAGAGACTGATGATTCCAATGTTTATAACATATAGGTTTTTGATTTTTTGGATTTTAGAATAATAGTAACGTTGGGTTATATGTGATGGTAAATGTAAGAAGCCTTATCTTAGCGTTATCTCATGTGATTGGTCTCTCTCTTTACCTTTTTTCTTTTGTGGTCTTGCTACTTTCTAATGACGTTGCACTCTCTCTTTCGTCCTTATGGTAGGTGTCTGCATTTAAGGTATTTTCTTTGTTTTGTTTTCTTTCGTTTTTAAGGATTTCTTTTGTCGATTTCACAAAAGAGAAAAGATTTTGGTCCCATTTGAAGTTCTGTCCCCCTAAAGCCCATTTATAGAAGCCCATTAATCTACTATTTCTTCTGTACATACTTGGTTAAGGGGCATTTAGAAGTTTTGGTATGCATTTATGCAGAGGTATAGAAATTTTGGCTTTGGTTTATGAGATAATTGGGTGAGAGACAACCGATCTAGTTGAAATTAAATTTTTGGTATTATGTTTTCAAGGCCCAAGACAACGATAAATTTAGTCCATTTTTTTGCCAACTTTAACCCCACGCGCTAGAGAAAATCTGTCCAAACAATAAACCGTATTTATTGCATCTGACGCTTGGGTTAACTTTATCTCTCTTCTTCTACATCTCTTTAAACGCTAAGTTTCATCTTCTCCCCATATGGATTTCTTCAGTTCGTATCTGACTTGGAGAAGTAGATAAACACCGCTGTTGCGTCTAGTTTTTCGCTGAGATTTCCTGTCCATTTTAGTAAACCGGTGGAAGATAAATCTGCAGATGCTTGTTAATCTCTTGAACCGTTTTTAAATCTTATTTTTTTGAATCAATTCCATTTGTTCATGCGTTATGATCCATCATTGTCTCATTTTTTTATTCAATCTTCGTCTTTTGATTTCTGAAGCTTTTTTCTAAATTTTTTGATACCTCTTTTCTGATCGATTTGTATCTCTACTTGTTTTTGTTATATTCATTTTTAGACATCCACTGCTTCTCGTATATCTCCATTTATTAGGATACGATGATTGTAATATATATATATATATATATATATATATATATATATTGTAGCGTGCATACACGTATACAAATGTTAATAACGCTTTATATTTATGTTTACATATATACAAATGTTAATAAAACTCTATATACGTGTTTACATGTATACAAATTTTAATAACGTTCCATATACATGTTTTACTTGTATACAAATGTTAATAAAGCTCTATATATATATATATGTATTTATATATACACATAAACCGAATTATTTAACATTTTAATTATTTCTAACTCTTTATGTATGTGTTTATCTGTATACAAATGCAAAATCGTGTAAAATATTCATTGGGTTTCCATGCAACTATGTTAGTTGTTTAAAAATTTGAAGAACTAGTTATTGGGTGTCCATGCAACTATGTTAGTTGTTTACATTTTTCGATTCTCGTCTAAAACTGTTTTGTTACAGATTCAAATTTGATAAAGTTCAAATAAAGTCATTTACATTTAATAAACCGTCACCTCATTCTTTCTGTTAACTGGTGAATATTTATCAATTATGTCAGTTCAACTGGGAGCATTTATTAAACGTCATGTTGTTCTTCCAGATGCTTTAAAAGGCATAAACTTCTCCACCACGCGCATATTTTAAAATCGAGCCTGGTTTTTTCGTTATTAAGTCCAACTTCATACCCAATTATCTTCTTTATTTTCTTCTTGTTCGTGACGAAATCCACTAATGTCGAATATCTAATTTCATGTCCCGTTTTTGTCTCTGCACAAATTCACTCTTGGTTTATTTAGGTCAATACTTTGGTTTTGGTTTGCTTTTCTTTATCATATGGAATATCTTTGTGAATTGTATGAAAATGGAAGTAAGCAAAAACCTTAACATATCTTGAAAATCATTCGAATTAAGATATTGATGTATATGATAAACTAAACATGAACCAAAATTAAAGTATAATTAATTGACCTAATTAATTCGAATTAAGTTTCGGTATGCATCTATGAAGAAGTTCTAGACACGATTTAATGAGTGACTTGGTAAGGTTTGTTTTAGACATCGCCACCGTCTAAAGTTACAAACACGATAAGATAGAGAAAGTTAGAGTTTGCCATGGAAAAATTAGAAATACGATAAGATAAAAAAAAATCAGTGAACTTGAGAGGACTTGAAGTTTCATACAATTCACAAAGACTGTCTTAATCGATTATTAAATTGATTTGAGATATGTTTGATTAATGCAAATATCTAAAATGTAAATTAAGATAATGATCGTAAAAAGGTTGCTTTACGATTCTTTTAGAATATTTGGTGACGTATAAAGACATTCACGCGGACATATGACATACAGCATACTATGTGCTTATGCTTAATATATATATATATATACAAAATGGAGAGACAAAACAAAAGATGCCTTGGGCTTCTTTTCTCATTAATGAACTCTGGATTATTCACAAATCGCCCTTACTAATCTAATGTTAAAGCTAATATCTGCCAGTTGATCTGAGTTGTCTCATTTTAAAAAAGCATAGGTTATATAATTAATCTTCATTCCTTATCTATTCCTTTCGCTTTGGATCCTTCTGTTAACAAACAATAAGACAAATAAACAAACATTATCAGCAAAACTGCAAAAGGGCTCTCAATTTGATAACGTCCAATATCACTTCCCAATTAATAATACTAACAAATAAACAATATTCTAGAAATCATTTTTATTCAGGAAAAGAATCATAATAATAATATATATTACTTTTTTAATAATATATATATTACGTAAGCAAGAAAACTAGAAGAGGATGAGATTAGGTTGGTTACCTGAAACTTAAAAGCGAAGGAGTTGATGGGTCAACACCGAAAGGCAGAAGAAGAAGCTACATTTATACGTTGTATTTTTATATTTACATGTTGAGGTATGTGTCATTTATGTGTGTATACATATTTATAAGTATTGATTCTCTTGAAAATACGTCTCTATTTGAGTCTCTCTTGTTGTAGAATCTTTTGGTATCTCGGGTAAACGTTTTTACAAGCCGAAACCTGAATATGGATCAATCACAACACATAATCCCTAGTTAGTTTTCCCATTGGATAATAATAACTATAACGAAAAAGAGGATTGATAGATTTGTCTCTATGAGAACAAATCATGAAGCATGCTTGCGTGAGGTGTGACGTGTCATGTCGGATTATATTATTATATGTTACATGCCACACGGTTTCCACATGAGATTCTAACCTATAATTCAACTTCAATTTTGTTTTCTTCAATTTTGTTTTCTCTTATTTTCATTCCAAATCCTTCTAACCAAAATAGAGTCTTTCCTAACCAAACAAATTCATATATCGAGTTTCTAAAATCCCAAAAGGACCAAATGTGTAAAAATGTGTTTAATATTCAACATTGACTAATACATTCACATGCTATCTCTGACTCTGACCCAGTCTGATTACGATATCTTAGTGTGCAGTGCAGATAAAAAATCTAATTCATCCTAGACTTGAAAAAAATAAATGCAACTTGGTATTATTATTGGCCCTATCTTTCAACGTTATTCAATCAAAATCGAATTTTAATAAATAAATTAAAAAAAATCCCTGTAACGTCGAAAAGAACGAAGAAGCAGAAATGGACTTACGGCTTCAATGTCGATTTTGAAGACGAGAAGCTTTTTTCTTTCTCTACAACTTGTTCGATACGCCACAATGATGTGACTTATGGCTAAGACTGACGAGCAGAGGAACAGAGCCACTTCCGCCGCTCTGAAGTAGTTTCCTCCGCCGTCTCCGATGGACGGCTCGCCGAACACAAACGCAGCTTTTAACGAAACGTAGACTAGAGACGAAACTGAGCAAATCATGGTGACTGTCAGATACGGTCCTCTAGATAGTTTTGGTCCATCACAGAGTCCATAAACACCTGTTGACACGAAAATCAAACTTAAAAAATGAGTTTTTGATTTCTTCAGAAACAGAGCAATTGCTCTGTTTTTTATGAGTTTTTGTAAAGTTTGAATCTTTTTTTACTCACAGAGTATAACAGCGGATCTAATGATTGAGATTAAAGGAATATCGATGAGAGAGTGACGGAAATCGTAGTTGGTGAGATGAGAAGAGAGATTCGCCGGCGAAGAGAAGCGGTGGAGGAGAGCGGAAGGGAGAAGAGCATCGGCGACGGCGAGGAAGATCGGAGCAGAGACGAGGAGAAAAGAGAGGAACATTGTGAACAAAACGAATACAGTTTTGATACCTCTCCATAGAGATGACGAAAGCTTTCTGGTTTTACTAATCTCTTCTTTGCTAAAACCCATTAAACCAGATCGTAGAAACAGAGAGGAATTGTTTGAAGTGTGGATTTGTTGAAGAGAGACATAGATTTTAGTTTAGAGAGGGTTTTTAAAAGGTAGACGAGACAAAGTGACGATGACGACGATGATGATGCTAAGATAAATACTATTAATTTATACAATAAATGATTTTCCCTCGTTGAACTTGGAATATTTAAATGAAAATAGAAGTTTTGGATTGGTTTGGTAATTGTTATCTTTCTGTATATTTTTTACCCCCTGGATTTCTATATGTATAATCATAATTGTATTAAATTTGATTCTTTCTATAAAAATCTTTTGAATATTTTTTTTCTATAAATATTTTCGTTCGTTGATTTAATTTTCTTTTGTATGTAAATCATATTTTATTATTTTTTTAAAAGAACGAGGTGAAGATGTTGTTGATCCATCGTAGTTTTATAAGAATGATATATAAGTACTATATAACAATCTGGATAAATGTATGATAATTGGTTTAGTATTCTGAATATGTCTCTACATAAATATTCTTTGTATGTGTGTCTTAGCTCAATTTGATAACTAATTTTAATATATACTAGAAGGTCGACAAGGCAAAATGAAATGTTGATTATTGATGCTGATCCAATCTACAGTATATATTATGAAATTACATCCTCATACTTGAAATTTTGATGAATTAGGATTTATGGGGTAGTTTGTTAATTTTCTCCTTTCCATTTACAAATTTCAGCTTTTTTTCTATATACAGTATGCTGGGTGATATTCCTATTTCAGAAATTATCAAATCAGGACGCGATACGTAGAAACATCACAAGCAAACTTCTTGAATATTGTCGAAGTAAATTGCCTTCTAAAAACTTTTGCATATCAATGCTATTAAGTCTCACGATTGTGGTTTCTAGTAATCAAAGTTTTTAGTAATCTCCCCGTATCCGAACCTCATAAATGCCCCGTTACACTTTGACAGAAAACACATTCTCAAACCTCCCGAAACTAAGGATACATAGGGCCGGTCCGGAGCATAAGACTTCGTTTAATGCCTTACATCGTTAAACACTATTTTCTGAGAGATTTTTTTGTAAAAAAAGTGTTACATTAACAAAAAGCTTAATTTTTTAATTGTGCATAAGCATCAAAGAAAATTTAGAAATTTTGGACCAGCACTCATACATATAATGTCAATCATAATACTTCATACCATGATTTATTGAGCCGATATATATATATATATATGTATATATATATATATTTTTTGATTTTTTTACTTGCATCATTTTCTTAATAGAAACTTTGTAAGATTTTTTTATCTCTCTGTTTTTACACTAAACTAAATTAAAATTTAGCCAACTGAAATCTCTGATAACTGAAAAATCCTAAATAATGGGAAACTGAAACATTCTAGAAAAAAATGTTGAGAGAAACTTCCTGGTCTTTGAGTCCTTTGACTGGTGTATCATTTAGAGCTGCTATGACTTCTATTAAATTAAAACAAAATAGTGTTCGGAGTCTTCAGATTTCAGCCACCGTGTAATAACGGTAAAACCTAAATAGCGTGAAGCATAAACAAATCTCAATAATTGGAACATTTTTCTTTCTTTCTTGATTTCATTTGTAAAATGGAGTCGAATATTTAAAAATCATCACAATACATGTTTATCGTTTTATTATATAGTTACTAGTAAAATAATGTTAGACCCATCCTCTCCCGCCGAAGAAAATGAACCGAGACTCGTTTATTTCGTTTACGGGAATGGAGGAACCGACCGATTTGAGACGCATGTGACCACATGCATGCCGTTTGTTACCCTAACTTATATCTTACGGCTTTATTTTCTATTTTATTTTGTTTCATTGTACATGTGATAAAAAGAAACAATGAACTATCGTATATCCAAAATATTTTTAATAACTATTTTGTGTTTGATTGTGATCTTTCAATGTTTTCTCGTCTAATGCTACCAAATCTAACGATAGGAAATGATTGTTTTTTCTTATCAAACTTTTTAAAACATTCGATAGGAAATTACTTGTATGTTATAAAGAAAGCATTGCCAAATTATTACACAAACAAACTATAGAAAAGTCGTAGAAAACTCCTTGTACGCGTATATCTTTGCGTGAGTGTATATACTAGTCAATTATATTGATGATAATTTTACAATTCGTATCGTAATTGGAATGATGTATATATTGACTGTTAAGCAAAACCTTAGGAAATTTCGGAACTTAGGATATGTTCTATAAGAATTTTTCCAGCAGAACATTCTAAATCAGATTTAGTGACAGATTATTCTTACCTGAAATATATAATTACCAACTTGTCACCAAACTCAGATGATGGGAATAATTAACCGAACAAATATGTGTCTATTTGCTTGTTTTGTTTCTTCTGTAGCAACGGTCAGATTTGCATATCAATAATTAGAGTAGGACCATCCAAATAAAGAGGGAGGAGCTGAAAGTCAAGAGTTTATAGGCCTACGAAACTGACCGGAAGTTGAAGAAACTTGTCAAGGTCAAGCAAGACATATCATCTCACCAAAAACATGCACTCTACGCTTATAAAGCTTTCTCCATTTATTATACTCCACTAAATTAGTGGCACAATTAGAAACCTAAAACCTCACAAAAAACGTTTATGAGAAACTAGGAAAGATACAATTGTTTCAAACTGTTTTCTCCCTTTTTAATATAACCAGTTCTAAACTTCTAGTTATACATTACATTTGTCAAAAAAAAAAAAAAAAATCGATATTACATTTTCGCTTAGAATTGTTTATATTAGAAAATATTGGGGATATAATTAGGAATTTTATATCAAAATAACTATAAAAGAGATAATAAATACATTAATCTCCATTTTTTTCACTTTCATTTCTAATTAGATATTCCATTTTTTTGTTGAAATATGTGATACTAGACAAATGTAATATATAACGAGAAATGTATAAATATAAAAATAAACAAAAAAAATCCCAAAAGTTTCTTCATTTTCATGTTATAAACTGTTTATACAGTACTAAAACAATTGTTAAAACCACACCAAAATCATAATTTGTAATTTTAGCCTAATAAGTCTATGAATTCATAATTTGTAAATACACTCGTAGTTTTAAAGCATAAACCAACTCCAGACCCATTAAAAGCCCACTAAGTAAGGCCCAAATCAAACAAGATCCAAATCCGCATCTTCCGAACAAAATTGACGCAAATTTAGCCTTGTCGGAATATTAACTCATTTGTTTTCGCTCGCTCGCTTCTATTTCTCCTCCCTCCTCCGATCTGCTGGGCGCCAGCGTTCATTAGGTGCTTCCTCAATGGCGGCACGATCCCTTTGGAGAACCCGTACGAAGCTCCTCGTTGTTGGTACCTCCTTATGCGGTGGTTCCGGCGCCGCCTTCATTGCTTCCTCCGATGACCCATCAACCACCCTCAAGCTTTGCACCTCCATCCCCGTCCGCCTCTACCGCAATACCGTTACCGCCGCCTCTATCGCTTTCGGTACGGAAACAAAAATAACAAAAGGATTATACTTTACATGTTTTGTTTCGCTTCAATGCCTAAATTTCACTTTTTTCAATTGATTTTGTTCTGTGCTTCGATTAATTTTGTGATTAACGAGATTGGCTCTGCACTAATCGTATTGGAAAGCTTTATGCTTGTGGAACCAAATATTAATTACGTTTTGTCTTGATTTATATAACTACCTAAGAAGTAATGTTGTATTTTGTGGTTTGTGTTGTGTTAGATTATGAATACTCATTGTTGGGTTTGGCTGAGGGAAGCAGTGAGAGGGCTAAGGTCAAACATGAAGTCCACCTAAGGTCAGCTCAAAAGCTTCAAGAGCTTTGTTTCAAAAATGGAGGAATCTATATCAAACTCGGCCAACATATAGGACAACTTGTATGTAAAAGCTTTTCTTCTCTCTGTTCCATTGAATGTCTCAAGTTATAATAATGATTATGTTATGTTAAGAAAACCAACGGGTTTACGGTTTTCTTGTTTCAAGGAATATCTTGTGCCTGAAGAGTATGTTTGTACTATGAGGGAGTCTATGTTGAACAAATGCCCTGTTTCTTCGTATGAGCAAGTATGTGAGGTTTTCAAGAAAGAGGTTGGAGAGATGCCAGACAAAGTATGTGCTATTTTACATACCTAGCTTCATGTATATAACCAGAGTTTTAAACGCTTTAGTTATGACTGCATCTCTCTTGACGTCTCAATGTGGCTACTGTATTTGATCTGCAGGTATTTGCTGAATTTGACCCTGTTCCAATTGCAAGTGCTTCCCTTGCTCAAGTTCATGTTGCTCGCACCCATGATGGAAAAAAAGTTGCTGTCAAGGTACTTTTTTACTTTATACTATATATGATGCGGAGATTATGGACTTGTATATATTCTATTATGTTCTTGAATCTTTTTCTGTAGGTTCAACATGCGCACATGACAGACACTGCTGCTGCGGACACTGCTGCTGTGGGAGTTTTAGTGAACACCTTGCACAGGATATTCCCATCATTTGACTATAGGTGCAGCCACTTTCTCATTTTCTGTAGACAATTCATATAGTGTGAGCCTCTTGCAAATAGCTTATACTGGCTCATGTATGCAGGTGGTTGCTAGACGAAATGAGTGAAAGCTTACCAAAGGTTGGTGTCTCCAGCTGATTCATAAGTCAGAACCTATGTAGATTTCTTTGCCCTTTCTTTAATAGGTTTATAAAGTCTTGTATATGTTTATCTGAATAGAATATTCATCTGTCGGCTAACGGCTTGCATCTTTTTCCAATAATATCCGAGGAATTTATTATAAATCAATGTATTTGTTTCACCCTCCGTCAATGGTTTCTGTTCTGAACTATTTTTGTATGGTCGTCATTGAGTTTTTGCTGTCACTGGTTTGATATTTTAATAACTCTTCTTTTATTAATGTAATTTTCATCAGGAACTAGATTTTTTGGTTGAGGCAAAAAACAATGAGAAATGTCTGGATAATTTTAGGAAGCTGTCTCCCCATATTGCAGAGTATGTTTATGCGCCAACAATCTATTGGAATTTGAGTACCTCTAAGTTGTTGACAATGGAGTTCATGGATGGTGCTCAAGTGAACGATGTTGCTAAGATCAGAAAGCTTGGGATTCAGCCCTATGAAGTATCAAAGCTTGTAAGCTCTTTCATCTTTGATCCTTAAGATATCATGCATTTCATGAACTCAGTTAAATAGCACACAATTGAAAAGAAAATAGTAATTGCCGGTTAAAAGTTTGGTAATTTCAAATTCTCATCTCTATGATAGACTACTATGAAGAATCAATCTTTGATATGCTTTAAACTCTTTTTTTGCAGGTGAGTCAAACTTTTGCAGAAATGATGTTTAAACATGGGTTTGTGCACTGTGACCCACACGCTGCCAATTTGATTGTTCGTCCAGATCCTTCTGGTAAAAGGAACATATATGGCAAGAGAAAACCGCAATTAGTGATTCTTGACCATGGCTTGTACAAGGAGCTTGACTTCAACACAAGATACCACTATGCTTCACTATGGAAAGCGTTGGTCTTTTCGGATGCTAAAGCCATTAAAGAACACAGCGCGAAATTAGGCGCTGGAGATGATCTATACGTGCTATTCGCTGGGATTCTTACAATGAGACCATGGAAGCAAGTCATTGACACATCTGTGGATCATTTAGTCATCCAAGGCAGCAAAGAAGACGTATCAGAGCTACAGATGTACGCATCACAGTACTTCTCCGAAATCTCAGAGCTTCTGAGGAGATTGCCACGCGTAATCCTTCTGATGCTGAAAACAAACGACTGTCTGCGGTCGGTTAACAATGAACTAATGCAAGGATCGTCGCTGGAGTCGTTCTTGATCATCGGGAAAGTATCTTCGCAAGCGGTTTTAGAGGCAAAGAGGTCTGAAAAGAAATCGTTGATGAAATGGCTAAAGGTATGGCTTGAAGGATTCTCTGTTGAAGCAAGGCTTTGGGTAATGCAATTTGCACTTTGGGTCTTACAAGTCAGAAAATCCTTAACCTTATGATATATAATGTCATAAATTGATTAATACGTTGCAGCCAATTAATATTACACATCTTTCTCTATTCTTTGGTAAGTGGGTTTCAAAATTAACATTTATCATTCTTTGTATACTACACAAGGCTGTTATGTACCAAACCAATAAATCAACTTTATATGTACTATGAGATTTGTATTCAGGGGCGGAGCTACATACAAGTTAGTGGGGTCAATTGACCCCAATAAACTTTCATAATTTAAAATTTTGTTATACAAATTAACTAAGAAATTAGATCAAATGGTTAAAAATCTTCTAGTTGACCCAAACAACAAATCTTTAAATCTCTCTTGACCCCAATAAAATCCGGTTCTAGATCCGCCACTTTGTATTATTTGTATGCTGGGAAGAGCATATTACTTTTTAATATTTATATATATAAATCTTATTGTCTTCGTAATAATTCTTATAAAATTTTCTTCAACTCAACTTTTGTCATCATTTAATCCCAAAGTGTATTTATAAGAACCTTATTTTTCATAAGATCTAAACCAGGTGTTGTGACATTTGAATCAAATTGAACCGAGATGGTTCGGTTCGGTTTTGGTATTGGTTAAATAGAGAAAACCTGAATTATTATTATGCAGTGGCCATCATCTTCTCTGTTCTGTCTTTTAAACAACACTCGAGTCTGTCTCTTCTTCGCAGCCGCGACTCCTCTCTGTCGCTCTACTATAATCTCCCCGCCGATCAATAATAACATTTTCTCCGGTAAAGTCTCTATCTTTCGTCGTCTCTATCAGTTCGCTTTGTGTTTCGTGTTACCTACATTTGATAAACCCTAGAAAGAAATTGAGTACCTTTCGAAATCGCAGAAGCGCATTGTTAAAATTCGATTGATGGGTCTTTGTTTTATGATATGTAATCGATTTCTATTGATGAAATTAGGTCAATTGAAGCTGTAATTTTGATATTTGGGGTCTCTCAGTTTTTGAAAAAGCTTACACATTTGTTTGAATTTGTCACTGTTGTTGTAGATGGAAGAGAGTGATGCTGTTCCAAAACCAGTTGTTGTTGACCCTCCATTATACGACGAAGCTCCTCCTTCGGCTTCTCGACGCCGGCCGGTGATGATCGCCGCCGATGCAGCTCCTCCAGAAGAAAATCATCTCATTCAGCGGATTCAAAGAGCTCTTGTGGAATTGCGTGAATTGAGAAATCAGTTTAATGCTATTCTTAGGGAACTAGAAGTCGAAGGTGTGTCTCTTTGTGTTTCATCTTCTTGTCCTACATTATTGTGTTTTTTTTTTGTCTGAAAAGTTCAACAATTTTGATGATAATGCAGTAGGAGAAGAAGAAGAGCAAGCGGAATCTTCAGTGGAGGATCCAGAGGACTCTGATTCTTAGTTGTTTATTAGAAAATGTTTTGTTTCTTTACTAGTTACCTATTTTATCTATTCTCTGCCCTCATGATTTGCCTAAATTAGCTTTCTCATTCTAAATCATCAAAGCCAACACTTAACAGATCAAGAAGCCAAAAGTACAAAGAGAATTACACTTTATTTACATGGATAGTTAATACACTCAATGCTCTTATATCTTTACAAAAGCCTTAAAATAAACTTCATATAACATGTGATGTGGTAGCCTTTTTCGAATATTTTTCAAGGGTTCATGCAAATATAGCTTAGTGGTAGATAAAACTTACATTTCTAAAGAATTTGAACATTCTTCGCCCAACTATTGAGAAATTTACCGGGTTTGACAATTGGTTCGCCATTCAAATAAGCAATTAATATGAAAAGTGGTGTAGCACTCGTTGCACCAGTAGAACACTTTTGTGTTGGTATCTTTTAAATTACGTTCGCACGCCTCACACCAATCTTTCTCAAGTACTTTTTCACCACATGAAGATGTGAGAAAATGTGTGTCATACGTATACCTTGCTTTGTATGGTAAGGTTGCGCACTTGAAACATACAATAAAATTGCATTTGATGCAATTTAATTGTTTTTGACATTTCGTTTCGCATACGTGACATATGGGTTCTACTTCTGGGTCTAAAGCTAGGAACAAAGGATGTTCATGACCTTTGTAATCAAACGGCTCAGAAGTTGAAGCACACCTTACATCTAGATTGAAGTAGCATCCCTCTATGCTACAATAATAGACAAAGCCATAACATTCACGATCACAAGCATAACATCTTTTACTGAAATATTCTAGTGTAAGTTGATGAGGATGTAACGCATGTTGAATTCTACGGGGAGCCTTAGCACATGTTTCATGGAGGATGAACTCACACTCCATACAAGAATAGAAGTTACCTTCATAGATCGGAAGGATACACGCTTGACAAATTTTATTTTCGTCATAAAGTATGATGCTCTCTAGCCTGAGATGATGGTCATGAAGAAAGTGAAGTATCAATCCTTCAAATATCATCTTGAACGGCCCATCATCTTGTGTTATATCATCTTCTTCTAGTACACCTTCGAGTTCTTTTCCATCCCACACATCCTTTCCAGTAGCACATATTGGATGAACACCATAATTACTACACTTGTCACAAGTATATGCACCATAATCACTGTTAATAATTAGTCGACAAACACCACAAGACCGTTCTCTAGATGGAAGAGAAGAAAGGTAGGAGATACGATGGTGATGACGTGATATCTTCATGATGCGTGGAAAATTCATACAATCATTATGAGCTACAAAGTTGCATCTGAGACAAACGTAGGTGGGATAAATTTTTCTCAATAAACCACAAACGTTACAAGTTAATGAAGTTTGTCTGGGGAAAAATGTAAGAGGATGGTCATGCTTTTTTGGTTGGTCTATAATAAAGGGTATTGGCTTCATCGCACATGTTGGATGCATATAAGCCTGACATATGGTACAATGATAAACCAACATATATGCTCTTCTTCTACAACATAAACACTCAATATTGGAGAAAAAATGAAAGGAAAGTTGGAGAGAATGCTCAGGGTGGTAAGGGTGCTTGATTTTAAGAGGAGACTGGACGCATTCTCTGTGGAATTTTTCATCATAAATGATACAAAAGTAATAGTCTGTGCCGAAATTTGAGCCTTCACACATGTCGCACCCACCATCGATATCAAATTCTTTATTGTTGCACCAAAACAAAGGAAGTACATGATGATCATTGGAATCCGTTGTTGTAGGGAAGACGTACTCGGGGGAAGAATTGGTATTCCACCATCGTACATTAGGGCATAAGAAAAGAGGTTGAAATGGAAGGTCAACGGAGGAGGTTAGGGTCTGTGTTTCGGGTATGGGGCAATATTTGGGGTGATGGTATACCAAAAACAGTTTACCATCCTTTTCCACCTCATGAAATCCACCGTTAGTATCCATGAATGTGTTAGCCTTTCTTTATTCTTTTTATATGTTTTTTCTTAAAAATATTTGTAATACAGGATATCAAGCTCTTAACAGTTTTCCAATATAAATATGAAAATTTGATTCGAAAACTATTCTTCTAGTTTTGGTTATTAGATCCTTAACGTGAAAACATAGTGGATTTATGTTCTTTTCTTTTGTAGTGGTAATAATGTTCTTCTTTACATACAAATAAAGAATCAACTTTTCTTTGCTTATAGTTTTCGTCATTTCTGGAATTTTATGACTTTTCAAGATTCTATATTCGTGATCAATTATTGAGCCAAATGCAGGACAAGGTTGGAAATACAAGCTGATGCAGCATGTGTGGATCTTAGTTCATGCTGTCCGTACTTCTATGAATTTGGGTGCAAGTTAGAGCCATTGTGAGTCCATTTCTGAATCTTTCCACTTACCTCCCCATTTAGATGTTACCCACTTGCCCTTTTTCTTGGTTAATTTTCCTGTTGTCAATCTGCTTCTTGATTTAGCCGGCAAGATTTCATTGTGTTATAAAAGGCCATTCTAAGTTTAAACTGGCACATGTTTCTTCGAGTTAGTGGATTCATTTGTGAAACAGTTTTGGAAAATGTTGCGGTTAAGAACTGTACTGTCAAAAAAACTTAAATGTTTTTCATCATTACTCATTGGTGTTTAATGATAACCTGGATTTTAAAGCAACTCTTCTGAAAATCTTTGTCAGTAATCCGAATAGTTTGGTTTACTTCTTCTTGATTTCACAGTTTGTTTGTCTCTTTGATTTGTGAACAGAGTAAAGGATAAAACTATTGGAATCTTGCTCTCGACTGCGTGTAAGATCAGATACAAGGAGACACTGACAAAAGTATACACTACAGCTCATATAACAGCTTGCAAGTACTTGTCAAGCTTAACCATTGTCATGATGTTTAGAATCATTTATGCAAACCATCATCTTTTTAATCATAATCATTATAGGGTGATTGTATCATATAACTGTCGAAATGATGTAATTAACAACATAAATTAGATATTTAAGGATATGGATTGAAACTAAAAACCAAATCATGTGGCCATTCTTGTTCTTGGTAGATTTAGTTGTCGAAATTGTTTTCTTTTTTTATAAGAAAATAAATTGTTAGAGAAAAGTGATGAAAATGGAAGGGTTAAGAAAAAGTGAAATAAAGTAGTGTTGTTTTGTAATGGAAGAACAAAGTTGGGAGGAGAATCATGATTTCACGGTGGTGCTTTGGAATTTTAATTTTGGTAGTGCCCAGGTTCTTGGAACCAAATTCTGATGTTACTACAAAAAAATATCTTGCTGATTATTATTATAGCTTTATCTTCCATAAAATAAAGCTTGGAATTAACTTTAAAAAGTTTCTTATAGATTCTTGACTTCTTGTTGTTTGTTCTCTAAGAATTTAACACTCTTGTAATGTTTATCTAAACGTGGAAGTTGGAACTAATTACATGTCAAAAACACTACATATAACATATAATTATATAAAATTTCTAAATCGTACTCCAGAAGAGTTGTTAAACTCTCTAGCGTTGTTAATAACGCTGACCAAATCAAAGGCAAATTTAGACATGAAACATGAGATGATCATCCGTATAGGAATTTGGTTCCTGCACCGTGGCAAGTCGTACACCATATACCTTTTTCCCTATTTTATTCATATTTTACTCAGTGTTCTAAAAAGCGGTTTAGGCGGTCGCCTAGGCCCCGACTAGGCGCTAGGCTCTCATGCGACGCCTAGATAACCGTCTTGACCGCCTAAAGTTACATAGATCTTGTTTAATGTATTTTTTTCAATTTTAATTAGAGTTTTATTTATATATATAGTTATACATATTTATATATTGTTTAATATAAATATAAATAAATGTTTTATCTAGTTTTGTTTATAATTTCATAATTTTTAGTTTTATATAGACATTTTATATAACTTTTATATATAATATCATATTTATAATATTTTATGTTATAAACGTCTAAACCGCCTAAAAAATTGCCTAGGCCCCGATTAGACGTTCTAGGCGCTAGGCACTGGGTCACCGCCCGCTTAGCGCCTAGCGCTTTCTTGAACACTGATTTTACTATATACTATTCACTTTACAATAAATATCTTTAGATATTTCTACAATAAGATCCTTATCTCTCTCCCTTTTTTAATTTAAATAAAAATTCAAGAAAAGTGCATTAAAAGCTCTGTACTTTATTCCTATCACCCAATCACTGCAAAACTTCACTCACGCGCGTGTTCTTTAATATCAGATAGATAAGTTTACGTGAGATACACGCTCCTATGATTCGAGTGTTGATGAAACAGAACTTACTCGCCTCGGTGTCCAATTTTAATCAGAAGATATTTACTATAAATATCTGATTTCTCTCGACTTCGAAAATCCAAAACGTCAAAAAAAATAAAACAAAACACAATTAAAAATTATTATGAAGAGGAACGGCGAGACGAAACGGCGGAGGAACGTGGCGGAGGAAGCAGAGCAGGGAGGAGGAGGAGAAGATCCAGCGATGTGGGAGAATCTTGACCGGAATTTCAGACAAGTGCAATCAGTTTTGGACAGAAACAGATCACTGATTCAACAAGTCAACGACAATCACCAATCGAGAATGGCTGATAACATGTCGAAGAACGTTGCTTTGATTCAAGAACTCAACGGAAACATTTCCAAGGTTGTTAACATGTATTCTGATCTCAATACTAGTTTCTCATCGGGGTTTCACGGTGGAAAGAACGGTCACGACGGTGGTGGTGCTGCCGGAACAAGAGCTTAATGAACCCGAATCAAATTGTTTCTTCTTAGTTGGACCGGCCGGTTTGAGAATTTTGAACCAGTCCGGTTCAAGCTAGGGATGATAAAAAAAAAAGTTATTATATGTTAGTTTTTATTGCAATGATGATTGTTGTTAGAATAATCCGTGGGAACAAACCCATCTATTGGGTTATTTTAATTATGGTTTTGAGTCTTTTTCAATGTGTCTCTACTGCAATTTCTCTAATGATAATAATAAGAATTGGTATTAGATTACTTATCTTTTTCTGGTTTGATTCTGATTTGAGACTTTTCTCATGTGACCTCGATATAAATGAAGGCTTGTGGTTAGATTGTTGCAACTTGGGGTAAGTAATTTTGTCACCTAGTGATGCAATTTGGTATGACATGTTAAATACAATTTGTTTTCTAGTGACTGTTCACAAGGCTGTGTGTATATTAGAGAACTCTCGCATAGAAAATGTATACGTTGTGACAATATATATTCAGTCAAAAATCAAACCTTTTTTTGAATTAAAATTGCATATGAAGAGGTTTAAAGTGGTTGGCGTTGTGCTATGCCGTGACCGATTAAAATCACGATTTCACTACAAACCTTTTCTTGTTAACTTCTAGTACTTCTTCAGTCATCATAAAATAACAAATTCTTGCTGTTTTTTGTGTGTGTATCTCTATACTATTAAAAAAGAAGTACAATTGAAAATGGGTCGGGTTAAAATCAGAAAATTGACCCGAAATTCTGAAATCGGATCTTTGAAATTTTTTTGGAATATAAATTCGAATTAATAATGAAAAATTGAAATAAAAACAAATATTTATGGAAATCAAATAAAATCTGATTGTACTTATGGTAACTAATAATAAAAGCATATTCCAAACAATATTATACATTAATTACGTATAATAAATTTGTTCATATATTTTTGGGACTAATTCCATAACAATCAACGTTTTTGTCATTAATTTCGCTCATTTTAGCTATTTATCATTAATTGAAAGCTATTTTACTTGCTTCTAAAGATTTCTAGAAAATTTATCACAAATAACTCATCTGTTTTATAAATTAAATTGATATTTTTATTTTGGTCGTGTAAATTAAATAGATATTTTTATTTTGGTCGTGTAAATTAAATAGATATGAAATCAATGTAACTAATTTTAATTTAATTAGATTAATCGAAATTATGATATTTTCATACCTATAGCTTACCAAAGAAGTTTAATTTTCAATTTATAAAGATTTCTTGAATATGATTTTAGAATTATTCAACAAGATGATAAGTATTTATTAAATTTTGTTAATCATGAAAAAAATAATTAATTTTTAATCATTATACTTCATCTTTCAATCTCTCATCTAACAAATAAGATACATATTCTATTATTACTATGTCCAAACTTCATTTTGTTGTATGACTAAATAATATTCCCATTAGAACTGTCAAAGCGAGTTGATTCGTCCCGTTAAGTCCGTTTTGCGATAGACAAAAAATATTTTGACTTGTAGTTAGTCGGTCTGCACGACCCGCGGGTAGCATATATGAAATACAAACCCGTCCCGCGAATGTATGCGGATTTGCGGGATTGTCCATGGATTTTGTTTAAATAATTTGAAAGTAACCAAAATTTAAAATACTACTAAAATAAATAAATAAATCAAAATACTATTAAAGTTTGTTTAAATTACCACATATTGAATAAATTATAATTTTATCAATAAATACTAATATGCGGGCTGATCCGCCAACCCGCGGATGAAAACTGATTAAACCTATGACCCACTGCGAATTAATCCATGTGGCCTGCTTATTTGCGGGTTTAATATATTTTCCCAAATCTGCCCCATAGTGAGATGATGTGGGCTCGACCCGCGGTTTTTGACCTATTTTGACTGCTCTAATTCCCATGAATCGTCTAATTTTAGAATTTTAAAATACAAAATTCTATTTTGTAAATCATAATTAATACGATGGGTATATTTATAAACAATTTTACATTTTCTCTACAATTCGTTATTATGAATATTTATAAGTATACTACACGATTCGTTCTACTAAAAACACACACAATATTAAACGCAACGTATGTAAACCAATATTCTCCCGCGGTAGACCGCGGGTCCGATCCTAGTGTATATATACAAGAAGATTATGTACGACACATTGTAACATGGAATTTGATTTTTCTTTGGGTAATATTAGTGAATAGCCAAATAAAACACATAAATTAGGAAACTAGCAGAGAGAAAGGTTTTTGTCGGAAAACAGCGATGGACCCACGTTGTCAGAGGATGTGAAATAATAAAACCATCCTCCGTTTGTTTTGAGATCAACAGTAGGCGAGATTGTTTCGTGAGATTTTTCAAAATAGCACGTAAGATCTAAATTTCACATGTTATATTTAACTAAAAGACATGCTATGGAAAAACATTGTTATGGAAAAATTAAACTTGAATAGAATATTTTTTTAAAGAAATAACATGTGATCTTTATAAAAACCGTGAATTACTAGAAAATAAGAATCTTTTTTTAAAGAAATCACATGTGATCATAATAAAAAACGTGTATTACTACAAAATAACATGATAGAGAGATATTAAACTGGATAGAGTGTTTTTTCAAAAAATATCATGTGCTCTTTATAAATAACGTGTAATACGAAAAAATAATATTATAAAAAAAGATATATTATTCTATCACATGTAATTCGAGAAAAAAACATGTTATAAATGGCATGTACGTAATAACATGTGTTTTCCGACATGATCCGACAAGTGACTGTAACTCATGGCTATTTTCTTAATTATCCTCAAAAATTTGGCTATTTTGTACATATTCTCTTTTTTTTTGTGCATTAAGAATTTTGTTTTTCTTAAGAAAAAAGTTCCATACAAAAAATGATTCAAAACCATTACAAACTTAATCTAAGTAGAGAAAAAAATGATGGTCGAAATGATTGAAAAACAGAGGTCACATTAGTATCAAACTAAACACACACAATCGAAAGAAAACTACTTGGGCCTGATGGGGTTTGTCCGGCTCGGAAGACTATAGTGCTTGTTGGAGTTGATGTAATTAAGCAGTTTCTCTTTCTCATTTGGTTTCTGTCAGTTTTCTTTCCCATGATGGAAAGGAAAAGCAAAAAAAAAAAAAAAGAAGTATTATGGACTGTGGTGAACATCAAATGTTGATGTTATTGAGTATACATTTTCATTTATATTGTTGACTCTTTCTATAGAAGAGGATGAATTTTCATATTCCATGTTTCATTATATGTAATTGACATATTAAAGATTATGTGATTATACGAATTTCGAACTAACTTATATACTCGGGGTTTTAGGAAATACAGCACACAATCAAATCTATCTTCAACGTTTTCATGAAATAATACTTCATTTATGACAAAATTCTCTGTACCATTTTGACAACTACTGGCTTTGTCTTCTCCAAATACTTTGTTTTCAGCATGATGGTGTTCATCACTTATATGATGGTGGTGACAATGACATTGTACATGCCCTTGACCATATAAATCGTTGGAGAAATATATGTCCTTTTATATTCTTTTGTCTTGTTGGACCATTGTTTTTTTTTTCCTTTTTTCTTTCATCAGATTAAGTTATGTAAACCTTTTTGTTCACAGAATTTCTTAAATGAGCTTTTCTTTTTCCTCAAGAAGAAGATTACATAGCAGAGCTAATCGCTTGCCTAGAGCCTAGGGAAGAAAGACAAATGAAGGTGCAGTGTATTCTAAATTAGCAACATCGACCGTTAATTCTTATTGTGGCCTAAAGTCTCGACCATTGTGTCTTAAACCCATTTCAAATCCAAACCCAATAGTTTTAAACCAGTAATCAAACTTGCATGGGATTCACTTTGTTTATCTTTTTGGACAATTCACAAGTTTATCTCTTAAGTTTCTGACCCTTTTAACCCTTGGGATGAACACCTCTTCCAACCTCACATCAACCTAACCGTTCATGTCTATCAACTTATGATCCAATCGTCGAGTCAATAACATGTCCAAAAATATTAGGTTTCACAACTTAATAATCTCTCACTTGGACACTAATCACAATCATATCTTCCCATATACGATGGTGAATCCGATACTTAAGTCTAGAATTCCAAATGATGTTGCACACAACCACATTTTACCATATATTACAACATTTCTCAACATTTTTGTTGGATTATGACTATACGAATTCGTCTCATGCACTGACACTCCATACTCCAAAACTAATCTAACGAAGTGATACCAAATTAGTTTATACTTTGTTTGAGCATGGTAAACCGGAATTTTTTACCAAAAACTAAAAGACACTCTTAACTATCACCCTTTCTTTGCAGCGATGATCGATAAACGTCCGCCCGATCTTCAGATCAAAGATATAAATTAGACTCCAGAACTCAATAGTGTTTTAAGTGAGTTAATAACCAATTGAACAACAATCCAATCCACCAACTTTTCAAAATGTCAACCCCTCCCAAAATACAATTGCCAATAATGAGCTTAAAAATAATATTTTTCTTAGAATATTTAAGCTTAAAATCATTTCTAAAACTAGAAATTTAGTATGTTACCTAATCAGTAGGTACTTAATGACAGATTAAGACCTAATAATTTGAGGAAACCTAATTTCCAATTGAAATAAACTTAATAGTTAGGTCTCTATAGTTTTCAAATTTAATAATCAGATTCAACAAAGGTCTTACCACTCCGAACACTATTTATGGTTCAACAAACGGGATTATAATATAATAAACTCAAGATCATTGATCAATTTCGAGTAAGTCGTGTTTCAATGGTTGAAGAATATATAACATATTCCATTCAAAACTCTGACAATCTATTCTATTAATTGGGAAGGATTAGATAATAAAGAACCTTATTTTGGTAAAAATATTACGATGAATGCCATTAGAATTTTTGCATTCCAAAAATAAACAATAAAATCGTAAAAGGGTAAATCTGATAATTTGAAAGACATAAACACGCGGATCTTGGGCTTTTGGGTCGGATTCATGGCTTTTGGGGCGGATAAACACGCGGATCCGGGGGATCCTGGGCTCCAACTATTCGGTTGGGAATTATCGAATGTTTTTATTGGAGATTTTCTGAAATTATTACCGAAATTAATGCCAAACCAAAAATGTTAGTTATGATTTAAAGAGATTTCAATAACAACGAATCTAATTAATTTCCAATAGTAAAGAAGGATAATTCATAACTTTAGTAAATATTCAAACGAAA